AACTCCTGGGCTCAAGCGAGTCTCCTGCCTCAGCCTCCCACGTAGCTGGGACCACAGGCGCCCGCCACAATGCCTGGCCATTTTTTGGTTGCAGCCATCGTTGTTGTTTGGCGGGCCCGGGCTGGGGATTCGAACCTGCCACCTTAGGTGCATGTGGCTGGCGCCTTAGCCGCTTGAGCCACAGGTGCCGAGCCGATCCTCTAGTTTCTTTTATTCACATGCTGAAAATATGTTGCATTTTTTCTCTTTATCTATTATAGAATATTGTCAATGGATATTAGAAACTCAATGATTATTGTATTTCTTCTCTTTGTCTATTATAGAATATTGTTAATAGGTATTAGAAAACTTGGAAAGTGTATCATATAATGATGGATGTCATTCAAGTGAGAAAAGTCCAAATCCCACTGGCCATGAATTGAGTTGGATGGCAGAGCATCCATCTCAGGAACTGATTGATCTAACTTATCAATGGTGATGTAATCTAATTGCTCCAAGCTCATGTTGTAATCAAGGGGATGATGTGATATAAAATAAAACTGTTTGGTGAGTACATTATGTTGAGGGCTAATGTGATGATAACATTCCAAAGCTCTACATGGGGCAAGGTTTCCCACCCATCATCTTACATTTTTCTTCCCTTAGAGTTTCTGTTATATGAAAAGCATGCATTTGACAAAAAATTAATAATTGTGATCTTAGTACAGTATAATTTTCCTCTTACAGGCCCAATCTCATGGATAATGGAAAAATACAGCTTTTATAAAATAAACAAAAAAAGAAAGGATTTCTTATTCATGGAGTTGGAGATAAATATTTCCATATGAAGTATTCACTCTGTTCTTTAGCAAATGTATCCAGCCTTAAACAACAAAAAACAATCTGTGGATTAAACTGTGGGAAAAAATTTAACACTTTTTACTCAGCTGATATGACTTTGCACTGGCCAAATTATACTTTTGTATCATGTTATGAATAGGCTAAGAGTTTGGCCATCTTGTTTCCTATTGTTTATGTCTATAACAGGGTTGTGGAGTGGAATTTAAAACCAGACACCAAAATTCTTCTTACAGCAACTGTGTTGCTTTAGGACAATGTTTATCAATTTTTTGTTTCAAAGGACACTTTAACCTATAGTTAAATTTCTGCAGTAAACTTAAATTATGTTGATTTAAAAAAAGAGTGAAAAAAAGAATATACTTACGTGCTTTGAACTTCTTTTGAAAATGATTTAATTAATGATCTTTAAAAACTTTCAAGGCACACCTAAGATCCTCTCAGGGCACACAAGTTGAAAATCACTGGTTTAGGAAACTACCTTGGCAAACCACCTAGAGTTAAGATGAGTCCCCACAGCCACAGGCAAAAATATTTTGCAACACTGTCACTGCATTACAAATGAAAAAGATTTGCACAGGTGCAGCAGAAAATGAAAAGCAGTGAAAACTAAGAAGAGTAGA